TTTTTTGCCTTGATGATGCATTTGAGTCCACATTGTTAAGTGACATTTGAATCATTTGTCTCTGAATAACATTTTTATTTGGGGTAATCTGTTTCTAGTTGGAGCTGAGGCTGATGATGATATGGTTGAGCTTCTTTTGTCACAAGTGAAGGGAAAAGACATAACAGAGCTAATTGCCGCTGGACGTGAGAAGCTGGCATCTGTACCTGCCGGTGGTGGTGCAGTTGCAGTTGCCTCATCGGCATCTGGAAGTGCAGCTGCCCCAGCTGTGGCCGAGACCAAGAAAGAAGAGAAAGTTGAGGAGAAAGAAGAATCGGATGACGTAAGCCTTTATGCAAAACACACACACACACATGCATGTCTACCAATTGCATTTCAGTGCTTTTCTATTTCCTGAAGGTGGTGGTTTGTTTGTGTATCTATCTTGTGTTGATGACTTAAGTTGATATAGCTTATGAATTATGATGATCCTCAAAGTGAAAATTTGGGAACCAGTATTTTCTGTTTGTTTGGTACATGGGTTTTGTTCTTCTTTTGTTCAATGTGCAATTGCATGATACTTGTGTTTTCCAAAAAAATGTGAGTTCTACATTTTCAACTCTATGTTCCATTATAAGGGAGCAAAGCAACCTTTGTCTAGCATCACTACAAACTTTGTGTATCTATATGGTGTTGATGACTTTCAGTTGAAAAAGTGTTTTAAGAATCTCAAAGTGAAAATCTGGGAATCCTTATTTTAGTTAGTTAGTTAGTTTGTTTGTTAGTTATATGTGTTTTGATCTTGTATAGGTCAACATGCAATTGCATTGTTCCATAGATTGCAGCTACTTGAGCACTACCTTTCCAACTTTTAAGTACCGTTATGAAGAGAACAAAGCAACCTTACTCTGTCTAGCATCACTATACCCTTTTATCTGTCTTATTTCGCTCCAGCACTGAGTCCCTATTTTCTTAGAAAATCTGACTTATTTCGTCATGTCCAATTAGATTGCCAAGATCCCATTTTGCTCTGTTCTCAAATGATTTTTATGCTATTCACTTTACAAACACATGCCTACAGGATGAAGGGCTGAACAATCACCCTCTTATTTGAGCATTTGTGTGCATACTCTTGTCTCTGTTTCATGTCAATTGTTGTATGTTTCCTTTTTCCTTTTTCTTTTGTTTAGAAAAAGGGGAATGGCCCTTTATTAGATTTCTATAGGTAATAATAGCAAGCATCCTATGCACAATGCAGAACACACCCAATCACATTTAGCAGTCGTGCATATACTCGATGTCTTCTTGGTGGATGGAAATCTCATTTGTAAATCCTTCCTATTTCATCTTTGCCATATGTATTGCTTACTAATGGTCATCTCGAATTTGTCTTTTAATTTCAGGATTTGGGCTTCAGCCTCTTCGACTAAACGGTTGTGGTTTCTACATACGATATCTTTGTGCTATTGTTTTTTTCCATTAGGTGCCTGTTTTACGCTTGGAAAACCCGACTTTGACTTTGTTTTTATTACCATTTGGTGTTCGAATTATGAAAACTAAAGCACAGACAGCACTATGTATTTGAAAATTTTGAATGTTTCTTGAAAGCTGATTAGAATGTTTTCCTTAGTATTTTTGTGTCGACTGTTTTTAACAAATTGGCGTGAAATGTCCAGCTGGGAATAAGAAATAATCATGTGGTATGCGAAGAGAAATAATCTTGATTTTATGCCATATTAATATATTGTTTTTACAGACATTTTACAGTAGAGATGGATGTTATAGTAGATGCTTTTATATTGCTCGTGATTTCGTTTATGCCTGTTCAATATAATGTTTTTTCAGGCATTTAACTGTAGCGATGGAGGTTATAGCAGACTATTTGCTTGCTTATTTGATGCCTGTGTTGATTTTGTAGTTTATATGTCATATTTCCGAAGGATTGTTTTTGCTAATAACCATTTTGTTTGAATGTTGGTGTGGTGAAGAAGTTCTCTAACTACTGTGCTCCAAATGTGTGTAGGTCTTATTAGTAGTTTTAGTACGGATGTAAAGGAACTGAGTTGGCTGCGAGAACATGGGTCTCGGCTTGGTATAAATATATTTGATCGAGATCATTTGTTAAGCTGAAAGCTCCAAGCTTGAGCTTGAAAATGTTAGACAAAAAAGATCATGAACATTTTTGTTGACGTGCTTGAAAGATCAAAAGCTCGAGCTTCAATTGTCTTGAAACATGCAAACTTGAGATTGATTTAATTCGTTAGTAGGTTATTGAACCTAAGCTCCAGCTCGTGTCATTTCCCAGAGCTTGTGCCATTTGACATTTTAGGTTCTCTCATTAAGCAAGCTTTCTTGTGGTTGAGCACAAGCTATGCTTGTTGAACATAAACGAGTTTTTGTAGTGCCATGTTCAAGCCTAAACTCGTCAACACATTACAACCAATACTCGAGCC